AAAGTCACAAATCAAATTTCGAATGGCCATACCAAATTCTCCCCCGATTTATAATCAAAAACGTGATTATAAAGCCTTCAAATGGTCATGAGAATGCTCTTGAATGGATAAAAAATTACTATGCTCCCCCGCGACAAAATGATATAAACGATGAAGTATAAAATCCGAAAAAGTTGAGAAAACTTGACGTTATTGCGAAAAACGACTTTCCGAACCGCCAAGACTTGATGGAATCTTTATTTTTCTGTTCACGAAAAAATATGTGCGTTAAAAATTCCAAAAACTGTTCACCAGCCCTCAAATTTGTAAACTTTTTGAAAAATGGGCTGAAATTGTCACTTTGTAGAAATTCTGGGACTGAAATTGTAATTCTGCATCAATACTCCCCTTTATTTGTGACAAAATCTGGAAATGGTCCATAATCACCAAGCTGTGAAAACAATAGGGACCAAAAGTGTTAATGCGCCGAAGTTACAGGGACCAAAAATTAAACTTTACTATCTTCTTCCCCATTTAGACGTTGATGAAAGAGCACAGCGACACAACTCACGATCAAATAACAAATCCAAGAAATCAATAACCCCCGAATTAACACTTTCGTTCCGAGCATCAAGATGTGAATCCAATTTCATGACAAAAGCGAAACCTTAGCCAAACCGAATCACAGGTTATCTTTCCCCTCTTTCGTTCCAAGGCTAACAAACGAACCCAATCATAGGTTCGCTTCCGATTCGGTCGAATACAACCCAAAGTGAATCCAGATTCGTTCATTTCGCTCTAATTTCAAATGGACACGGACCGAAAGTGAATCTCAGGTTCGTTCCGAATTCATCAATTACACTCCCAAAGCGAACCAATTTCAAACACGAACCCAATCACAGGTTCAATTTTGACTTTTTGCCTTGACTGACAAGAACAACTTTAAACCATTCCAGTTCGATTCATTCGTTCGAAGGTAACACATCATTCTTTCATAATTTTGGCTTTTATTTGACTCGCAAGAACATCTGCCCATTCCGATCAACACCCTATCGACTGCGAATCCGTTTTAGTTCCGATTCATATGATTCATAATTCCGATTCTTCTTTCTCCTTCTGAATGAATTCCAAACGACTTCCCACAGTTCCGATCACCTTCCATAAACACCAAATCAATGTATCTCTGAACAATTTCAGATCAGAAACCAATATCATCCTAGATCATCTCCATATTCATAAGTGATTGATCATCATTTAAACATAACAGTTCAATTAACGAACAATCTTCAAAATAACTTTTAGATCGAGAAGATAATGAACAAGATCCAGAAAAAAAAATATCATGTGAAGAATAAATCTTGAACTGAATCAACAAACGATGTTTAAATCTGAGGCGACAAAAATGTGTGAATCACTTTGACTTAATATTGAGATTAAACAATCGTCGTGAATTAGATAAACGACCAGGAAAGAAAATCAGAACAATTTGAAGGACGAGAATAACGTAGACTTGGAACGAGGGAGTTTAAACAGAAGAAAGTTTGGGCCAGATCAAAAGAGATACTATAGATCGATTTTGTATTAAATTATTGACCAGATCAAATTCAGAAAACACAGACAATATACGAATCAGATTACAGGAAAATTACCCAGATGAACAGTGCAAGAACACCATAAATTTCCATGAACAGTAGCTTGAACAAAAATCTTGATTCCCTACCGTCAAAACACCAAAATCTTCAATAACTTGTGCAGAAAATCATCAAATCAAGAACCGACACTTCAAATATCAATAGATCTTCAAAGACCCGCTCTGATACCACTTGTTGGGAATAAAACCCTAATTGAGATTTGATGAACAAGATGCGGAAAAAAAGAACAAACACAAATATGAAGATTAGGTCGAATGATCACTCGATTTATTTAATTATGAGGAACAAATTACACTTTAAGAATAAGAATCTAACTCTACAAGAAACCTCACAACGTGGCGGCTACATTTTGTCTCACTCTTAACCCTAATAATGAATAATACATGACTATTTATAGGGAAAAGACAAGTCTTGGGCTTTTAACCTACACTTCATCAAGGGGGCCCATTGCCATCATCCATGGAGTGCTTTGAAACCCTACAATTACGAATTATAATTAAGGTTTATTAATTATCTTTAATAATTTTTAAAAATTAAATTGGGAATTTTATGTCACATATATCCATGGGGGAGGGTAATTTGGGATCAACTGTACTCACAGCTAATTATTATATTCAATAAGGTTGACAAGCATATACATCCAGTGGAACTGAAAGAGAAACAACCTCAAAAATGACCTACACCCTAAACGACTTTTTATACGCTTTCAAGGTAATTACATGATTAACAATTTATTATTATTATTATTGTTTGCTAACATTCTAATAAATGATTGTTTCAGATATGGATTCTTGAAACTTTTCCTGTGAGCAGTTCGTTTGGTACCCGACACGAGAATGTGATCCCTCGGGCTGTTGCATGGTTGAAACTGAGGCCTTTACAAAAGACTCGGTGCAACCAGTTTATAACAATCGACAACGTATGGTAACTTATATATTTTAGGATTTTATTTTATATGTATAATTTGTTTTTATTTATAGTTTTATAATTTTTTAGCAGGATAACAGGCTTGTACAAAAGTTGGAGCCCACAGAAGCTGAGAGTCGAGCTGAATAGTGGATAGTTAGCCCTGAATGGATTGATCGCCCTTATTTTCCCGACACGGAAGTTCATAGGGCACATTCCCTAACACGATCACCCAAAGACTCCCCTACCCATGAGACTCGACAAAAGAAGGCACGAATAGATATTCCATCTCACCCGCCACCACCACCACCGGTCTCTGAACCGTCAATTGATAGAGACCGAATTATTACTTACTTGCAACACGAGGTTCGTCATTTGCAAAACGAGCTCAGTGAATGTCGCGAGCATATGAGGTCACATGATAAGCGTTTAGCAGAGCATGATGTTACTTTAGCCATGCTTGTAAAACTTATCAATAAGACTCCCAAAGACGATGTCGATACCTTGAAGGGGCTAAAGGTACATTGTTAATTATTTCACTCCCATACACTTTTTATTTAACTTTATGGTCCTTATGTTTTTGCATTGTTTTTAATTAAAAATTATGGAACCGTACATGCACTTATGATGCAAGATGTTGGTACCACAGAGTATAATGACATGTGGGAGCATGACTATGGGTCAGGCACACCCGAACAACCGCTGAATCACAGCCTTGAGCAGTCGTCTCCACGTATTCAATCGTCCAATGTAAAAAAGATTACAAGGGATGTATACAAACCGCTGACGGAAGCACCACTTAGGCTTTCTTTGCGCCAAAAACTTATGTCCATATGATATAAGTCCCCATGGATACAAATGAAGAGGAAAGGTATTGCACGAAAACATCCATCACCGTTGGACAATATTTTAGAGCCTACCGTACACAGTCTATATAAAAAATAGGATGGTTCGTTGTTATTTGCTCACCGTTTTTTGAATGGTATTGTGACGGCTGAATTTTGGATGCGCTTATATGCGGATAGTCACACAAACGGGTTGGAATGTGATGTAAGTTATATAATTATGTGCTCATCACATACTACGTTTTTAATAACAATACTTACTTTAATGCAAATTTTTTCATTGTCGGCACATCATGATGTGGATCTCATTGCTGATAGAGCGTAAAGCGGATGATGCTTGGTGGATGGTTGTGCCGACAACTTTCAATACTGATGTATTTGACTGGAGTGATATGGTTGATGGATCCGTTTACCCAACTTGGACAGACTGTGATACAGTATAATTATGTTTGGATTACATTACTTAAGTAACAATAAATTTTAATATAATGTTATTTAATTATTAACTATTTCTAACCTTTTGTGTAGCTTTACATACCAATCAATATACCAATTGGTCACTGGTTTTTAGGTGCTTTGGATTTAAAGACATTCAAAATGACTATATACGATAGTCACTGGAAGAGCGGCTGCTTTTCAGAAGAAGATGAATGGTTTATATGCATGAGAGCTCACATCTACAGACTGCTAGTGGATATCAACTACAGGGGTACCAAACCAACCGATGCAATCACACTTGAGAGTTTCAAGATGACCCTCGAAAAGACCACATACATACCACAACAGATTGGCAGTATAGGGGATTGTGGGATGTTTTTGTGTTGGTTTCTAGAGACGGTGATCGTCAGGAAATCATACTTTATAAAGAGTAAAAGCGGTCCATAAGCAATATCATATCGTAAACGACTGACAGAAATATTTTAAAGTACAAGGATAAAGACAATTTGAATATTGTAATATTAATATTAAACAAATCTTTTAAGTTTATATATTTATTAGGTTTTTTTATTGATTTTTAAGATTACATATGTAATTTAGATTTTATAGGAACAAACCTTATATAAAAGAATTTATTTTTGCAAATAGTATATTTATTTTTTCACTTAGTACAAAAGAAAAAAAAAAAGAAAAAAGAAAAATCGGAACGACTCCCCGGGACACTACTCCAGAGTTCCTGAGAGATCTCCGAAAACATTATAATCCGGAAAGGGTGGTTAGTTTAAAAAAAAACAAAAACAAAAAAAAACAAACAAACATGTTCATTTCTTTCAAATACTTTATTTATATATTTATAAAGGTTAGATTACTCAATTTTCTAAATATGTATCATTTAACCAAAAAAAAAAAAAAAAAACCTTAAACTAGTTGAGACGCCGGCCTTGACATACTTTTGCTTTGGTCGGCATAGGACGTTAAAATGCCGCCACCGTGTTCTTTTCCTTGACAGATTGGCAAACCATATGCCATTTTGACAGCTTATTAAAATATTTCATTTTTCATTAACAAAATGATATATTAAAAAAATCAGATATTAAAACTAACCTTTATTAAAATATTCTATCTAAAAGTATAACGGAATTATCATTAACAACTTCCAAAACTACAAAAAGAAATGTTACAGCATATAAATACTAAAAAGTAAAAATGCATACAAAAAACAAGCTAAACACATATTTGTACAAAGCAACTATCCTCATCAAACAAAGTTTCTATCACTTTGCAACAAAAGAAAGAGCCTTTTTAAGATTACGAAATGCTTTCTCAAAACGTACAAAACCCATAAACCAAAATTCAAAGTCATCATCTGTCACCATTTGTATGTACTTTTGTGCAGGGTTCTCCACGTTCTCACTCTCATTCGCTTCTTTAATCTTGTTCACTGGAATCAATACCTAAAAGCAACAACATTCACTCACATTTTAACCATTTGTATGTAATTCGAAGTAGCAATATTTGAAAAATGGGGGTTGAGTGAGTGTTTAGAATTAATTACCTTGTAAGGCTTTCGAATGGGGTCGCCATTTGGTGAAGGCAATGCGATGGATCTGTCGCTGTAGAAAGCTATCTTTTGAGTGGAGATGAAGAGTATTCCAGCGATTGGACCTGCGGTGGTTGATAAGTAACATTGAGAAGCTTTCAACAACTTCTCTCCTTCGATTTCCCCAAATACTTCCTTGAATATGTTTTCTCTTCCTCCTTTTTGTATGATTTTGGCTCCTAATCTTAGCTTCCCCTTCACTGTTTCTGAAAATTTTGGCCCCATCTTCACTGCAAACATTAACGACTTTGTTTTTCTCAATCACTCAATAGATCTGGAAACCATCGGATTTACATTTCAAAATAGCCCTAAAATTTGGGCAGCAAAATAATTAATATATAATCAGTGTAGTTGTGATTATCTTCACAAAGGAACATCGAAAATGATTTTTTTTACATAAACAACTTATTTAGTAACTCAACTATGTGTAAAATCTTACCGTGATCTCGAACTCTGTACGCGAAGCTACTGGTTTTTCTGCGGGGATGTTTCTTAGTTCGACAGCTTTTCTCCAGATCTCCATCTTCAGTCCCTTGGATACATCAATAACACAAATAGGTAAGTAGAGAGAAAAAAAAAGAGTGAAAAACAGAGTATGTAATCGAGAGAGTACCCGTAGTAGAGAAATTGGAGTGTTCGTACGAGGCATCTAGGAGTGAAGAAGGACTGAAGAGAAGATTACCCGGCGATGACACAGAGCCGGTCGTCGTCCCTGCACTCCCGTGGTCTTCGTCGGTGTTGATCTTCATTCACAGAAGCGTGTTGAATCCTGTGGTTTGCAGTTGGGATTGAAGAAAAAATGGGTGTGAAAAAACGAGGAAATAGGGGTGTTTATGGTCGGGGCGATTGTTTCTTCGTCAACTCTGCTTCTACATTAATTGATATGCAGACTTCCAACCAGCTTCCCTCAAATTGAATTACTTAATTCAACACGTTTCATTAACAAAATAATAACATTAAACATCGAGTTATTCGTTAAAAAATCCATATATTACTTTATTCTTATTTCCCATCACCACACAAATTATAAGCAAAACAAAGTAAGCCCGTCTGGTATATCGGCAACGAATAGGTTCGTTGTCGATGTGGCCACGGACCATAAACGTGCACACTATCCTACCGGTCTGTGGTGGCTCGTGGTCGTTAGGGTGCAAACGAGCCGAGCCGAGCCCGAGCCTGGTTAGGCTCGGCTCGGGCTCGTATAAGTTATACGAGGCTCGAGCTCGAGCTCGGCTCGATTCGAGCTTCTTGTACTGAGTTCGACTCGAGCTCGTAAATAGTTATAGAAGCTCGACTTGGGCTCGGGTTCGACTCGTGTTTTTCTGACGTGTCTAAATAAGCTTAAGCTCGGTTTGTGCTCGTTAAAAAGCTCGTTTACTAATACCCTAAATCCCTAATCCCCAAATACGTTTTTATTTTAATATATAATAATAATAATAATAAATTATATTATATAAAGGCTCGTTTAGGCTCGCGAGCCTAATCGAGCTTAGTGACATGGGCTCGAGTTCGAGCTTGTTTAATAAACGAGCTTAATATTAAGATCGAGCTCGGTTCGGGCTCGTTTAAAATCGGTTTCCGAGTAGCTCACGAGTAGCTTGACTCGTTTGCACCCGTACTGGTCGTGGTGATTTGTGGTGGGGAGCACGGAAGACGATGACCAATCCGTTTTCTCTCTCTCTCTCTCTCTCTCTCTCTCTCTCTCTTTCTCTCGCTCTTTCTCTCGCTCTTTCTCTCTCTCTTTCTCTCTCCCTCTCTCTCTCTCTCTCTTGTATGTACTCCAAAGTTGGTTCGTGGCTCGTGGTGGCTAATCTGGAATCTCTCCATGATCGTTGCCGTGGAGAGTATTATTGATGGTCTAACCATCAACATACAACCCCACGAATGATAGGGCATTTGAGGTTTTTGGTTACCAAAAGGTTCCCTTTAAATACAATATTTAATTACTCGTATTTTTCTTCAGTTCATGGCGGCCATTAACTGTTTTTCGGTAAAAAACATACTTAACTTTTCAAAAAACAGAGAAAATGAAGTGAGTTTTTTTGAAAAAAAAAATTATTTTTTATATATTAATATGGATCACTATGAAAAGATGACGAAAAAACATGAACAAAGTTATATTCCGGTTTTTTTTTTCGATAAAAGAAACATGGTCTAAAAAAGGAAAGTAAGTTTTGTTATAATCTGATGCATGTGCGGCCATTGTAAAAGTCTAAAACATTTTATTTTGTTGTTGATCGCAACACTTTTGATTGTTTCCTTCATTCCTTGATTAATAATAGTTTTCTATTGAACTTTTTTCTTTCTCTCTCTCTCTCTCTCACTCACTCTCTCTCTCTCTCTCTCTATATATATATATATATATATATATATATATATATATATATATATGTGTGTGTGTGTGATAGATTTAGTTCAAATTTTGATTAATTATTGTTTAATATTCTCTAAAAAAATTATGAGTTTTAATAAGTATGATTCAAAACCAAGACCAGTAATTAGTTGGATTAACGTAAAGTGTGTGGATAACGACCTAAGTCGCGGTGCCGAACTACAATCATCGTCGGGATGATTCCCCTCTGTTCGTCATTATTAAAACAAGTAAGCTTTCTTATAGAATCTTAAAACAAAATTAATTAAATATGAGTAGGTTTTCATACATATTATCCAAAAAATATATTCCTAGTAAAAATATGAATGAAGAACAAGATTATGATAATAATCAAATAAATTTTATCGATGAAACTATTGATGACATAGAACAAAGTATAAGTGATCGGACAATACCAAAAACAAATATAAATACAATATATACAATATGAACTTTTGACTACTTTTTTGAGTTACTCTATCAAAATGACAGAACTAACTCTGTCTATCGGTCAAAATCAAGAAAATTTAAATCTACTATCAACAAGATCTATTTTAGAACATAGACGAAAAAATATAAATTTCTTTATATAGGCTTAATACAAATTGCTATTAAACCTTTTTTCGAATTGGTATTAATGCTCCTGTTTTACTAATTTTAAGAAATAAATGGCATAAAGATTATCAAAATTCCATTTTAGCTATTGCTTAAACAAATATTGCTAACAGATCTACTTATTTTAATTGTTATCCAAATTTTTCTATAGGATTATTTGATAAAAACATTGGAGATACTTTAGTATTAACTGTAGAAACAAAAAATTTAGAATTTAAAGATGATACAAGACCCTTAGCAATAATTTATCGTTTTGTTACAAAACTATGACAACTACTCTTGAACCAAAAACTCGCTTGTCAAGTCTTAAAAATAAAACAATTATTTTTGAAGCAAACACTAATCATGCCAAAGTTCATACATTAAAAAGATTAAAATGTTTTGATATTACTCAATCATACAATTGAAATTTACAAAATGTAATTGAACCAAATGCTTTAGATTCTTCAAAACAAGTTTCTAATATTATTGAATATAGTGATGGTTCAGTCGATATAAAATTTTCTTCTCTAAATATTTCATCGTCCAGATTTTCAACTAGTTCTACACTAGAAGTTGGCACTTCAAAATCTTCATTTTCAAAATCTAGATCTTTAAATTTAAGAACTGTAGATTCTACTAATTTTGTTCCCAAACATTTATATCAAGATGATTAAAATAGTGAAAATAGTTTTCCTAGTCCTACTAAATGAAATTGTATTGATGAACTTCAAAATTTTAAACAACAAATATGAGTAATAAAACCCAAATATATTTTAATTCTTAGAACAGTTATAATGTTAATTTACTTAAATTTTTTTGGTAAGACCTAAGCACTTCAACAAAACACTTAAAAGACCTAGAAAATGAATTAGAAATATAAAAATTAAAATTTAAAGGTCAAAATCGCACTGCAGTTCAGTTAGTCAGAATAGGAAGATTAATGGTTGAAATTGATCATTTTAAAACAATTATAAAAAATATCTATTATGTTATTAGACACGTTTCAAATAATTATGAATATGTTAAATGAGTTCTAAAATATAGATAAATTGTTCTGGAAATAATAGGCTTTGGACTAACATAATAAAAAGACATTGGAAAACAAACTCTTACATATGTAAAATTATTCAACATTTAAAGATACTACATCTCGTGAAAAAGACTATTTATTAAAACTACAATCAAATAGTTATAAGTATAATAAACAAATATAAAGGGTTTCTCAATTAACAAAAGGAATTAAGATATATAAACAGTCACGTGACCGTAGTTTAGAAACAATAAATCACGCTTCCTCAATCCTAACTAGAACAACTTGTTAATATGGATTTCTCTGAAATTGAATTTCATGTTGATTTTAATTACTTAAAAGATATTGAATATTATAAAGAATATAATGATAACAAAAGAGATTGGCATAAAAAAATTTCATATTACTTAAAATATTTACATTTAGGACTTTGGGAAGATTATGTTTTGTCAAACAAGATTCATTCTGTCACACCCCCAAACCGGAACAGCGGAAACGTTCGGGGGCGGAGGACGTCATATGTAGTATCACAACATATGCATCATAGTAATGAAAGTAACAAACAACCATTGCATTAATATTAAAGTGTTTACAAAGTATGTGATTCACAAAAGGTTGACTTCAAGTAAATAACAAAAGAAGACATAAAGCTACTATGCTCCATCTTCTGAATCCCAGAGCGCGTACCTGTCTACTAGTTTCCTGAGAATACAAGTTATTTTGAAAGAGTAGATCAGCATTTAAGCTGGTGAGTTCATAAGTATTTAAGTGATGAAAAGTAAGTTCTTTAGAAAAAGTTTGCATGTTCCTCCAGAAAATCCTATATTTTCTGATGTGATGAAGATAAGTAAAAATGACTCTACAATTCCTTCTATGAGTACCAAATGGATACAAGTTATATAAAATCCAGATCAAAGAGACAATTGATTGTGTGAATCTGCCCTAAGCCCACAACCAAACAAGGAACAGGAAATGAGGCGAAAAGCACACATCCCATTGTTTGTTAGATCCTCGTTGTATATAACCCTGGCGTATTCAGTTGGTACTTACGGAGTCAACTTTAATAGTTCTTTATATTTGGTGAAAACATCTTTTAAGAAAATCATATATTTCCTTTAGTAAAAATGGTAACCACAATAGTTCCTTCTATAATCACTTAGTTTATACTAGCTATATATAATCTAATATCGAACGGACAGTTAAATGTATGAATCTGCCCTAAGTCCACAACCAAACAAGGAACAGGAAATGAGGCAGAAAATACACATCCAATTGCTTGTCGGATATTAATTATATATAACCCTTATGTATAAACTAATGTATTATATAATTAACTACTAAAGGTCCTTTACGTTATACTGGTTTAATAAGAAGTATTAAACCCCTTTTATAAATAAGTTTCTAGTTTCACTAACTCAATTGTGAAACGTTGTTTTTGGTAAAACGCTATTGTTTTCAAAAAGTACAATCAAAACTGTTTACCTTAAGAATGATGTTTACCGTAGAAAATCCTATATTTTCTATAAAAACCGACTGGATGTCCATGTTGTTCTAAGTTTAAAAAGCACAAGTATACTCCCTATACTTACTACAATGACATATAGTTTTGTTGATATGTTAAACTGAATAAAGACTTGGTTGTTCTGGATACCTGATACGACGATACTACCCTCCTATGATTACCTAATACATACGAGTTGCATATAACCGAGATCGAATAGACAGTTGAATGGGTGAATCTGCCCTAAGCCCACAACCAAACAAGGAACAAGAAATGAGGCGGAAGTCACACATCCCATTGTCTATCAGACTTCAGTTATATATAACCCTAAGTATACATTGGGTAATCACATAGTTAGTGTCCTTTGAGATTTGTTCATGAAAA